AAGAGACTAGGGTCCAGCTGAAGCTAACAAGCAACAGGTAACGCAATTAGCCGGGAGGCTAACAGGCGGACAGACAAGACAACTAAGCCTCGCGCCGTGAACAGGTTGGCCCAACCCGTTCACCCTACTTCATAGCACGGTGTCGACCTGTAAGAAAAAAACTTAACAGACGACAAAACACTGCAGCGCACTCCTGGGAGGAGCAAGCTTCGCCCAGAATGGAGTATACTCTACACACTCAACGGAAAACTCACCTACAGAGTCTTCTTCCACTTCTCACTCACCTGCTTAGCCGACGGAAGAAAAGAGGTAGGTATTTATAGGGGGTGGGAGCACGCGCATCACACGGGTGGAACGGAATTACTCTGATATTAATATCTCGACTCATCCTACCGCCAGGCGAAAGGATATCCCATTGAGTGACTAGCATAATCCCTAAAGCGAAATAGAATCCCATAATGTCAAAGTGTTTGCAAATGTATTGGAAATTAAATGCATAAATATTATTTACATAAGTATTCACACCCCTAAGTCAATACATGTTAGAATCACAATTGGCAGCGATTACAGCTGTACGTCTTTCTGGGTAAATCTCTAAGAGCTTTGCACACCTGGATTGTACAATATTTGCCCCAAACAATGCTTTGTATTCAGGACATAAAGTTAATTTCTTTGCCACATTTTTTTTGCAGATTTACCTTAGTGCCTTATTGCAAACAGGATGCATGTTTTATAATATTTTTATTCTGTACAGGCTTTCTTCTTTTCACTTTGTAATTTAGGTTAGTATTGTGGAGTAACTACAATGGTGTTGATCCATCCTCAGTTTTCTCCTATCACAGCCATTAAACTCTGTAACTGTTTTAAAATCACCACTGGCCTCATGGTGAAATCCCTGAGCGGTTTCCTTCCTCTCCGGCATCTGAGTTTGGAAGGACACCTGTATATTTGTAGTGGCAAAATGTTTACTCCTGAACTTATTTAGGCTTGCCATAACAAAGGGGTTGAATGCTTATTGACTCAAGACATTTCAACTTTTCATTTTAAATTAATTTGTAAAAAATAAAAAATAAACATTATTCCACTTTGACATTATGGGGTATTGTGTGTAGGCCAGTGACATAAAATCTCAATTTAATCCATTTTAAATGCAGGCTGTAACACAACAAAATGCAGAAAAAGTCAAGGGATGTGAATACTTTCTGAAGGCACTTTTTTTGAAGGGGGGGCGGCCTGGGCAGTGTTAATGCTATCCGGGATCCCTTGGGACGTCCATACCTGAAACCTTAACCTTAAACCCTACTCTTACCTTAATCATAGACTGTCAAAAAAATATGGATGAAGCCATTGATGACGTCATCCCATTGTTTCCTATGAGAATGCTCAGTGGCGCATTTGAAGATCAGGAAGTGTCATTTCAGCATGTCACCATCTTGCTACATGGAGCTTTTGGAAACATCGTATGCGCAGTTTGAACTTTTCTAGGATGTTAGGTTGCAGGCTAGCTCAGTGCTGCCCCCTTTCATTGAGTAGGCCTATCTCAAGTTGAAGGCCGATGAGGTACTGCAGGCTGCCATTATCACCTAAATTATCCTTTTAACTTCGTCTGCATTTGATTTTAAAGTAATCGGTTCAAAGACATACATCTGGTGAAATAGAAGCAATTATTGGTACCATGATTGTGTAAGTTGTGCGGTCGGCCTTCAACTTAAAATCATCAATGTGAGGGGGCAGTCATTCTCCCCTGACCTTAACCATAACCCTTACATAACCTTACCTATTTTATATTTCAACTTCAATGTGGTATGGACGTCCCAAGCGACCACCTGGGCAGTGGGCAAGGTAGAGTTAGATGCTGACAGACCTGGTGCCAGAACGAATCAGTTGGATGGCATTTGATTTAAATTTTTTCAGGGAGGTGCCAACAGCCTTTATTATTGATATGTAAAAATACAATTTATACAACGGGTGCGGTTGGAATTCGAATTGCCATTGTCTTTCATGCTTTAGAACAGCCCACTGTGTTTCTCTGTCATGCTTTTGAATGCATCATGATCTCCTCTTAGAGGGAGTTGATTAACAGAAAAAAATGCAATCATGTCAACAAAAGAGCCCAGGTAATATCGATGACGAACAAGCTGATCCATGTTAACCAGTGTGGATATTTTCTGCATTAGGCATTTCTCTCTCCCTCCACATAGCCTCACATGTTAAGTGTTCTTTCGAGGTGGCATGTTTGTTCAGTCCTTTATCTGTCTTTAATGCATGCTTCCAATCACAGAACCCTTTAATGGTAAAGGTTGAATCTGATGACGCAGACGGCAGGGGAAACAAAATACAACGTCACCTTGTACTGAATACTCTTGCCAATCTCCATTATGGTACCATGTATTAGCAAATGGCCACTTCTTCCCTGAATACAATCTTACTGGAAACTTATCTAATATCACCTGACTGGGCATCTCAACCCCAACGTCATCTGAGGCTGCTCCTCTGGATGTGGGTGGTTCTGGCCCGTGTGCTTTAGCATGGCTAGAAGCTGCTGCTGAGCTGGGTGGCGGCAAGGAGGCTGGTGGTGTGACTGGGAGGGGGACTCTGCTATCTTCACCGTTGACAGAGACTAGGCTAGCCGAACTCTGTGGGCTAGCCACATTGCAATGATCGCCAGCAACTGTAGCAGTGGTTTCAACGAGTGGAGTTTCAGCAGCACTTGTTGCAGCAGATGATGCATTCTTTTAAAACCAATTTCTAATATCCATTTGAAGGTCTACTGATCACTGAGGCACACTGTTGTGTTTAACAAACGCTCCACCCACTACTAATTTGAAATGGCGATAAAAAGAGACGTGACATCATGATGCATGTGATAGGTCTAAAACCGTGTCAGTCATAATTACTTGAGCCTTATTTAATTTAATTTAACAATACAAAAATATTTTTAGGTAATTTAAACTTTAAATGGCTGTCGTGGAAATTACCACCAGGGACTCCTGAGGTCAATATTAAATGAATAATTTTTTATTATCAGCAAGCTGGAGAGGTTCCAACAAACTTAATGTACCATAGTATACGTCGGTCGGGAGCTCTACTGGGGCAGTCCCGTTAGTTATTTTATATACTGCTTACACAGACAAGTTATATTTTTAATTATTCATCATTAATTCATCATTAACGTTTGGTTCATGCATGTGACCGACCAATACCTCACGAGGCATCTTCTTTCCAAGCTGAGAGCTTGAAACTGAGACCCCTTTCGGTCCTCAAAGCAATGTCCTGGGCGTACTGCCAAATTGCTTATATTGATAGTGAGGATTCCTCCCAGGCACGATCAATCAGTCACTTGCATGAACCCAGTCGAATTGGTTATTAGAAAAGCACAAACATAAAATGTTCCTTCACATGGCCTAAATATCATACAGTTTCCTTCAACCATGTACTTTATTTGGAGGGGCCAGGAGGTACGGTAGGGTGGGCCAGGCCCCCTAAGGCCCGCCCATAATGCCGGCCCTGGATGCTGATTGCAAGTATGTAGCCTACACATAACCCGCATTAATTAAACAACTATATATATAAATGGTGACACAAAACATTTGTTTTAAGTAAGATATTTCTAAATCTCAGTCTGCCGAACAGCAATAGCCTGTCATTTTATCCATCACGTCACGTTTTGTATTACTTTAGGCTATCCTCCATATTTCCAACAATCACAAAACGTGTCAGGCCAAGTAAACAGTCATGGGTTCAATCCCAAATCACCCCCTTCCCCTCTGCCCTCCATTTGCACATTCATGCGCACCTCTGCCATATGCACAAGTGTCCGGTAGCTGAGGGAGTGAAAATTATGTGTGTAGGGGCTAATTTGAGCCTCCGATAGCCACTTTGACCGAGTCCGCAACGCTGCCGGCTTTAGAGAAATGTGGTAGTTAGTTTTGAGTTTAAGAAATTTCACACAAAATAATGGAGAGGCATGCTAATTATGAGCCACCTGTATTTGTTTGTGTCTGATTCTGAATACCTCCCAAATGAAATGTTTAACTGTTACTGAGGTTTATATCTTGTAGAATGACAGAGGGAATTTTCTCATTTGTATGTGGAACTGGAACATGAACTGCATCAAGTCACGAGCGTGTCCCGAAGTTGATGGGTTTATTTGATCCCCTCACCACTATTGAAGTTACACTCGAGTTTCGCCAGTAACACGTGACAACAGAGAGCCCTCCGAGCGGGTTGGTAGGGGCGGGGGGCTTGTTTGGGATTCACAAATGGGATTCATCAATTGGGTGTGTTCGTACCTCCCTTAAAAGACCTTCGCTTGAAAAACAAGAAAAAAACGTAAATAGTATGGCAATAGTTCTGTTTGTCCATTTTGAGACGCCTTAGCCACATTACACTTCCTCAATATAGTCAGAATTAATCTAAGATAACTAAAGAAATCTGTCATTAAGTTTGATGTTTTTGCCAAGGAGATTTCAATTTGACATCTAACTAAGACGTTTGGTGCAGTATTTCTCAAAGAAATTACAACAAATACTTTTCTGAAGAATCCCTACTGTTGACCAATCACCGACGAAGGGGTGTAGACTTCAGTAATCGACTTAGGCTTGCCTCAAGAAAATGTTTTGTGTTCCTTGAACAGCCGAAAAAAACCCTACCAGTCCAAAACAAACAAAAACGTCACAAAATCTCATCATAATATATGCACAAACTCTTCCGAACTGTTTAGTCTGGGAAGCATGTGGACGCCTTTAGTCTAACGAAGCTGACTGTAGTAGTAGTGCATCTGTGACAGACTAAAGTCGGACACTAGTGGTTTTCCAACAGCAAGGCTCAGATCAACATAGCAGCTATTGTTTATAAAAGTTTGTCTTTATAATGTATAAATAAACTTCTATACCCCCATATCACACAATTAATTGGTTAGAGAGAGGTCTCATATAATTTTCGTATCCCCTGTAGCTTTAGAATCGTGGTAAAGTTGGTTCCTGTTTCAGTCACATCTTTGGTTATGTTGGCGCAAGTCGGACAATTTTAATCCCCATAATGCAACATATTTTGAAAGACAAAATGTATCCGCTCGAACGCGCCCATTGCTAATAGTCTTGCAAATTAAATCAGTTTATTGTCAATAGTTTCAAATGCAGATAATATTTTTGAGAATGCACAAATGTATTAACATTTGGATTGAGTAAATATAAAATCATCCATAAACCAATAGTAAAGAAATCAAGAACATGATAAACACTGCCAATGAGACCATGATTTGATTGTGAAAGCACTGATAATAAGAATAAAAGGTTACCATGATCATTACACAAAAACTGAAAGTAGGCTATATAATTCAATACTAAGACACTAAAAAGGTGAAATATTATGACATTGAGAAATGAAATTTGACACCCAGTATAGTATACAGTACTGAATGAAACAAAATTAAAAGTCAATTTACAACTTACTGTAAAGAACCTACTGTGCTTTTAGCAAGCTTATATCTCATGCAACTTGCACATAAGTTACTGTATCTATTTTGAAAAGCCATAGGCTACCTAATGAATAATCAATTGTAAGCAAAAACAACAAAGTAAAAATGTTGAATTGTCACTCACCTAAGGTTCAACAATAAATGATTCACAGTATGATTATATTGAATTCATGATATTCATATGCTAAATATAAAAGTATGATTTTAGCCCTTTACCAACATTTCCCCAGGGGAGGTTTTGTTATTGAATGGCTGTACGGATGTCGTTATACTCTGGGGTGTTCTGGTCCAGGTACTTTTTGTCGGCCACCCAGGACTTCAGCCTCTCCAGCTGATTCTGGTCGATGATCCCCTCTTTACAGTGGTGATTCAGCATCTGATTGAAGCCAGCTTTGTAGTATAACACTGTTCCTTCAGGAGACATAATAATGGATCCCGGGGTAAGATGATTGGTGTTTCCTAGAATAAAAACATAAACAAATTAAGGGTTAATATTCAAACTGAAATGAGAAAAATCTAGTCAAGACTTTCCTATATAAGGGCAGACAGGACAATAATCACCTGCTCTGAGCTGGTCAGAAGCAATCGGATGAGCCATGATGAAAGAGAACTTCAGTGATTTCTCCACATCTCCGCTTACAAGTGTATCCGCCAGCAGCTTCCTATGAGTTGGAAGGGCATGTACAGTGTTGTTAAGAGATTGAGAACATTCCGAATAGGGAAGCAGCATAGATGGTAAGTATTCAATTCCTAATACACCACAAGAATGGAACTTTTCAAATTGTAGCAAAATTAAAGGTATTTTTGTGAAAACTCTCTAAGAGGACCAGGCAGCTTGAATTTAATCAAAGTAGGTTTGTTTCTGTGTTTTTATTTCAGCCTCGGTTGTGTATCACAGGCGGAAAGAAAGGGATGGATTGCACCTACAGTGCATTCGGAAAGTACTCAGACCCCTTGACCTTTTCCACATTTTGTTACATTACAGCCTTATTCTAAAATGGATTAAATAGTTTTTTCCCCTCATCAATCTACACACAATACCCCATAATGACAAAGCCAAAACAGGTTTTTAGAAATTGTAGCAAATGTATTAAAAATAAAAAAATTGAAATATCACATTTACATAAGTATTCAGACCCTTTACTCAGTACATTGTTGAAGCACCTTTGGCAGTGATTACAGCCTCAAGTCTGCTTGAGTATGACGCTACAAGCTTGGCACACCTGTACACAACTGTACATCCCATTCTTCTCTGCAGATCCTCTCAAGCTCTGTCAGGTTGGATGGAGAGCGTCGCTGCACAGCTATTTTCAGGTCTCTCCAGAGATGTTCGATCGGGTTCGGCCAGACATTCAGAGACTTGTCCCGAAGCCACTCCTGCATTGTCTTGGCTGTGTGCTTAGGGCCATTGTCCTGTTGGAAGGTGAACCTTCGCCCCAGTCTGAGGTCCTGAGCGGTCTGGAGCAGGTTATCATCAAGGATCTCTCTGTACTTTGCTCCGTTCATCTTTCCCTCGATCCTGACTAGTCTCCCAGTCCCTACCCCTGAAAAACATCCCCACAGCATGATGCTGCCACCACCATGCTTCACCATAGGGATGGTGCCAGGTTTCCTCCAGACGTGTCGCTTGACATTCAGGCCAAAGAGTTCAATCTTGGTTTCATCAGACCAGAGAATCTTGTTTCTCATGGTCTGAGAGTCCTTTAGGTGCCTTTTGGCAAACTCCAAGTGGGCTGTCATGTGCCTTTTACTGGGGTGTGGCTTCCGTCTGGCCACTCTACCATAAAGGCCTGATTGGTGGAGTGCTGCAGAGATGGTTGTCCTTCTGGAAGGAGTGACTGTCAGGTTCTTCTCCCCCGATTGCTCAGTTTGGCCGGACGGCCAGCTCTAGGAAGAGTCTTGGTGGTTCTAAACTTCTTTTATTTAAGAATGATGGAGGCCACTGTGTTCTTGGGGACCTTCAATGCTGCAGACATTTTTTGGTACCCTTCCCCAGATCTCTGCCTCCACACAATCCTGTCTCAGAGCTCTAAAGACAATTCCTTCGACCTCATGACTTGGGTTTTGCTCTGACATGCACTGTCAACTGTGGGACCTTATATTGACAGGTGTGTGCCTTTCCAAGTCAGGTCCAATCGATTGAATTTACCACAAGTGGACTCCAATCAAGTTGTAGAAACATCTCAAGGATGATCAATGGAAACAGGATGCACCTGAGCTCAATTTCGAGTCTCATAGCAAAGGGTCTGAATACTTATGTAAATAGGGTATTTCCGTTTCTAATACATTTGCAAACATTTCTAAAAACCTGTTTTTACTTTGTCATTATGGGGTATTGTGTGTAGATTGATGTGGGAAAGCAATTATTTAATCAATTTTAGAACAAGGCTGTAACGTAACAAAATGTGGAAAAAGTCAAAGGGTATGACTACTTTCCGAATGCACTGTATAATAATAGATAATTCACCTGCAGATGACAGATGCCTTACTGGCTCCAGTGGTTAGAGCATTCCTGTGATGCTGTTTGAGAACCCGCATTGTGGGCAGGTTCTCTCCATTTGAGTCTGATCCAATGCTGTTTATCATATCGTAAAGCTTTGGATTCTTCTGTTGAAGATCTTTCATCTGAGATTGTTGGTCTCTGGCCTGCTTCAGGGAACTCTTTGGTGGGATATGGTCTGCCTCCACAACGCCTCTTTCCCCCATGTATTCAGAGATAAGTCTGGTGTTTTTGACACTGATGAGGGAATAGAAGAGAAAAGGTTGTACTATGAAAGTACAATTCATGTAAACACATCTATTTATATAATTTGTATGTCAATGCTTTATTAATTATTATATACATTTCTGGTCTTAATAATGTATTCAAGTGTAAAAACAATGCAGGGTCATTATAATTACATTGGTAGATTTGAACAATGCCCATATAAAAAAAAAAAAAAAAAATATTATGCTAAATTACCTTTTGTAAGGACCAACTAATCCAAGTTGGTACGCATAGGCTATGTCCTCCTCATTTATCCCTGAGGAACTATAAGGAATATACTTCATGGGACTGATATCGTGACCATATTCCTCATTATCACTCGTCTGTGCTGTCGGCCCTACCCCTCCAACTATAGCATATTTTCCATGATTTTTCTTGAGTGCATCATAGGCCTTCTGGGTTTTTACCATTTCACTATGAGTATGAAGGTTCCCTTTGATCTTTGGGAAGACATAACAGGTATCAATAACTCCAATTACTCCACAACAAAGGTTAAAGGTGCAATCTGTTATATTCATTTATTTTATTTAGGGACAGTTGGTATCTACCAATCATCTTAATTTCCTAGAGTTCCTTCGTTGGATTTGATTAAAATTACATATTTCAGGAAGTTACTTAGTTTAAGAATTATTTAAACTATACGTAGACATGCGTAGGCCTACAGTACCTGGTCTTTAACGTTGTTTCGTAGATTCACAGCTTGACTCTTGATCTCATCCTCTGACCTGTTAGATATTGCCTGTGCTAGGGCATGGTACAGGCAGTTCTGGTTCTCTGAGCGCACAGGGATTACTTTGCCATCTTGGATGATGTCAAAGTGACCACTGTATGGATTTTCCACTCCTTGGATTCTGTCTTTTGCTTTAGAGAGGATTCCTTTCTCACTGAAAGAGCAGAAATAAAGAGCACCATTGGTTCTCATTAATGTAGTTCTAATTGGAGAGATCCTAATTTGGGGAGATTTGCAGTATTGTTGATGAAGGTCTACCAAACAGTTTAGGACAAATACCTGTGTGTTTCCTCAGGCTCTTTGGTCAGCCGTAGAGTGATTTGGCCGGCTGAGCTGTTCGTTCCCGGGTAGGACTCCTCTGAGAGTGTTTTCCCATGTTGATCCACCACTTTGAACTGGATGCCTTTACCATGGAGCAGGTCACTGTTTGTGAGGATATAAATGTCCAGGGCCGAGGCTGGTCTATTAACATCACCAATCTTCTCTGCATAGTCCAGGAGTTCTTTTGTTTCAGTCTCTGACAGAGCTTTCCCAGTCTTCTGACTGGCTGACTTCATATCATGTTTATGCTGCCGGTCCTGGAAAAAGCCCTCAGTTTTGTGTCTGCCAAGTACATTGTCAACAACTTTTCCAGTGACTGCATTGACCTTCTTCTTGAATAGTCGCGTCACAAAGTCGGACATATGACCAGCACAAGCATCTATGAATGCTTGGGAGACACTTTCCGAAATGGAGCTTAGGAACTCATCCTTCAGGCGAATCACATCTGGTAAGTCATGTCTGCCATCTTGGTCATACTGCTCCAGATTTCTTTGCTGCTCTTCAATTTCTTTTTTTAATTTGAGGACAAATATGTCATTGATAACATGTTCTGTAGGAATGGATTGAATCATTTGGACCAAGGTTGTGGTGTGTTTAGCTATTTCTACACTTATTTTGACTCCTTTTGCAATCCCACTTTTTTCCACAAGGTCAGTTGCATTATTGCACACCTCAGAGAGTCTGCTGATAACATCACTGACTTGGGATGTGGTGGCATCAGTCATGAGGCCAGGAATAAGATCTTTTGTCATAACTTGAACTAAATCTTTCATTTGTTGTTCAAGCTTTGAGTCAATTGTATAATTGCTGCGGTTCTGCAAAGCTCCTTTAGGTACTGCAGAGCCAATGTACTTAGTGAGACTAAGACCTAGTTCGGCATTCTGTTTGACTGTTGAAGTGACCATGTCTTTGAAAGCTTTTTCTAAAATCATTTTAAAGATGGCCCCAATTCCAGCATCAATGCCGTAGTTAATTCCTGCGATTACACTCTGCTTCCCTACCTCCTGAAATGCATACTTGGTTGCGTGTTTTAGAGCCACCTTCATGTTTGTAGGGGATGCCAGTTTCTTTGTTGCAGTCTTAATTGTTTCTTTGGAGATAGATTTTGCTGCTCCCTGTGCGGACTTGAAGACATATTTTCCTGTGCCAATGATATCCTTTGCGACAGATGAGAGTTTCTTAGTACCATTGAGGACTTTATATGCTGTGATGGCAACTTTTTTAATGGCGCTGAACCCTGCGGAGAGCAATGACATCCCAATGCTGATGCTTTTGGAGATGGCCCATTGCACCCAATTGAACGTGCCCGATATCATGCCAGTTATCCCTTCAATCATGTCGGAGACTCCTTCAGAGATGAGACTGAAGCCAATCTGGGTTCCAGCGCCAAACGACAGGGCAACAAACCAGAACCCAAAAGGTTTCCCTGACCCTACCGAGGAAAAAAGAAACAAACCCAAGGCTCAAGCTGAATTTGGGCTTTTTTTTTCACCTAAAACCCCAAACAAAATTTGCCACCGGGGCCATTTTTTTCAATTAAAAGGGGGCCTTTGGGATTTCCCCAAAAAGTTTTTTTTTGGTTCTTTTAATTTTCCCTTTGGAATTTAGGTTTTTTAAAAAGGCCCTTCCCTGAGGGAAATTCCCTTTTTCTTTTTTTTGGGGCCTTTGGCCCCTTTAAAACCCCAACCCCTTTTTTTACCGTTTATTTTAAACCGCCGGGGCCCATTTTAAAAAGGGTTCCACACTTTTTGTGGTTTTGCTCAACCTGGCCGGGGGTCGATTTGGGGTTTTTGGGGAAGAATTTTTGTTTTTCCTTAAAAATTGGTTTTTTGTGTTTCCAAAATTTTGCCTTCTTGTTGGGGGGGTCTGTAAAAAAAAAAAAAACCCGGGGGTTTTTTTGGGGGTTTTTTGAAAAATAAAATCCCCCCAAAAAGGTCTTTTCCCTTTTTTAAATTTTAATTTCCCCTTGCCCCCCTTTTTTTTAGCCCCCCCCCTTTGGCCCTTTGTTGAGGGTTTGGATTTTTTCCCCCCCCCCCTTGGTTTGTTACAGGGGGCCCGGGACGGGGAAAAAAGGGGCCACCCCCCCCTTCCCCCACCCAAATTTTACTTTTTTTCAGGGGGGCCCCCCTTTTCTTTAAATTTTTTTCCACATTTAGGTTTTGGGCCCCCCCCCTCCTTTAAATTTTTTTGTTTTTCCAGGGGGGGGGGGTTTTCTGTTTCCGGTTTTTAACCCCTTTGGTCCTTTTTGGGGTTTCGGGTTTACTTTTTCCCTTTTTAACACCTTCAGGCGGGGGGAGGGGCCTTTTTTAACCTTTTTTGCCATTTGCCCCGCCCCTATTTTTTGATTATTTTAAAGAAGGGTTGGGCTTAAGAACAGGGAAAAATTTCCAATTTTCGTGCGGGCCAGGCCCGGAAAAAACCCCAAAATCCGGTTTGTTTTTTTCCAACATTATCCCCCGGGGAAAAAAATTTAGGGTTTATCCATAGGAAATTTTTTCGCCCCTTCCGACGGGTTCCAAATTTTTTGTTTTGTTTTCCCTTTGGTCATTTTGGGTTCAGGGGGTTTTCCAAAAAGGGAAACCGGGTTCCTCATTTTTATTTCGGAAAAAGGGGTAAAAATCGGGGTCTAGATTTTGAAAATTTGGGATTGGACTTTCCCCCGGCTCAAAACCCGGGTTCCCCCTTGGTTGTTTTTGGTATGATCCCACGGGGCCCATTCCCGGGGGTTTTTTCCGGAATCCCCCGGGGTTTTGAAATTTTTCCCAAAAACCCGCCCCCTTTAAATTGTTGTCAGGGGGAACGCAAGGCCCCCACATGGTTCCCGGGTCCTTTCCCTTGATACGCCCCACCTTTTAGTTTTCCCAACTTGCCCCCCTTAAAAATTTGGTACCCCAAAAAGTTGTTTTCCAGTGGTATCGGGGGGTTTTTCTCCTTTCCCCCCAAACTTCAAAAACTTTTTTCTCTTCACCCTAATAAAAAAACCCTCCACTGGTTTTCCCAAAATTTTTGTGTTTCAGGGGAATTTTTGGGGGTTGTCCCGGACCAAATAAACCAACAACCTTTTGGCACCCTTTTGGAAAAATTTTGGGTTCCCAATCCCCACTAAATTTTTTCCGTATTCGCCCCCTAATTCCCGACCAAAACCTTGGCCCATTTTTTGAAGGCCTTTTGGGGTAGGAAATTTTGGGGTAAAAGGTCCCTTGGCCCCAAGGGGTTCCAAAAGCTTTTTAGTAAATTCTCCAAACCCTTTGTCCGGCCTCCCCCCACTTTTGGGGTTTTGCCCTTCCCCAACCCCCCGGGCCCCTAACCCCCGGGTTTGGGCGGGGAAATTTGCCCGTTTCCAAAATTTAATTTGTTTCTTGAAACCCTTTTCCTTTGTGTACTATCCCGGTTTTTAAAAAGGGGAACCCCTTCCGGTTTTTCTGGGGGTCCAAAACCCCCGAGGATTGAACCACCAAAAATTGTAAACATTTTTCCTTCATTATTTGGGTTTTCGGGAGCACGGACCGGGGAAACTTTTTTTCCACCAATTTTTTAAATTTTTTTAACCCCCGGGGGCGGTTTTGGTGGCAAAAACATAAGGCCAAAGATCCCCGGGTTTCCCTTTTACCGGGTCCCGGATTTCCCCCGGAAGGGGTTTTAACATTTTTTTCCCTTTTTAATTTTTTGGTTAAAAGGGAAAAAAACATGTTGAAAAACTATTGAAAAAGCCCCAAATTGGTTTTAAAATTTTAATCAAAAACCGGAGCCGGGGGCCCGGGGAAAAAGTCCTCGAGGGGAAAGTTGGCCTTTCCCCATTTTTCCGGTTTTGATTAAAAAGGGGGAAACCAGCCTTGGAACCAGAAAAGACTTTTTATTAGGACCTCCTTGGAAAGAAAGGTCAAAAAGGTTGTAAAACCCAGCCCTTATAATCCCAGCACCCCCTCCTTCCCCCCTTTTTTCCCCCTTTCCCAACCCCTTTAAATTGTTGGAATTTCCCGCTTTTCCCAAAAAACCTAATTAATTTTTCCGGGGAAAAGCCCCCATGCCTTTTCTTTCCCGGGTTTGGGGATTCCCTTCCCCCTTTGGGGGGCCCCGGGGAATTCCCAAAATTTAATTTTTCCTTTTTTTTTCCGGGCGGGAAAAGGGAGAGAAAGCCCACCTTTGCCCGCAACTGTTGGGGGAAAAGGATGGGAAGGTTTTTAAAAACCTTGGTTTTCCCGAAAAAAACCTTTTTTCCCCCAAAAAGGGAGCAAGATTGATGGGCCAAACTGGTAAGAGGGGGAAAAAGGACCCCTTTTTTTTTTTCACCAGTAAACATGCCCAAGGGGGGAATCCCGGGGAAAAGTTCAAAACCACTTTTTGGGAAAATTGGTTGAGCAGCGTTCGAAACGGAATTAAAAACCCCCTTTTTAACCCTTTGGCCCGGGTCGGGTTTATTTAAACCAAGCTTGTCCCGCCCCTTTCTTTCAAACTTTACCTGCCACCGTTTTTGTTTTTTTGGAAACCTCCCCCGGGCCCTTTTGTTCCCAAAATTGGGTCCCCCCCCTTTTAGGACGATTTTTGGGGTAATTTTTCACCAAATTACATTTTTTGACCGTCCCCCCCCCAAAACCCAGGGGTTAAAGGGCCCTTCTTTTTTTTCAGGGTTTTAATTTTGGGAACCCCTTGGGCTCCCCTTTTGGGGTTAGGGATCTTGTTTTTTTCCCTTAAAAAACCCTTTTAAAAAAAACAAATTTTTTTCCCAAGGCATGGGAAAAATTTAAAAGGGTTGCCAACAAAAAATGTAAAAAAAATTTTGAAAGGGTTTTTTCGGACCCCTTTTTAAAAAATGGATAGGTCAAGGTAGCAGGTTTTTATTATTTTGGTGGCCTTTAAATTGGCCAACCGTAGGTTAAAAATTGGGGGGAAAATTTTTTTCAAAAAATACACTTTTTTGGTCAAAAAGTTTAAAGGGGCCTAAAAATAAACACCTTTTCAATTGATTGGTTGTAATTTTCCCTTTAAAAAATCTTTTTTCTTCATATTTGAATTTTTTTAAATTTTAAAAAATTTTTTTCCAACCCCAAAAAAATTTTTCCAAAAAAAAGTGTAAAAAAGGGAAATTTTAGTCCCCCTAAATTTTAAAAAGTTTGGAAAAAACCAAATTTTTTTCCCCCTTTTTGGGGTGGGGCCTTAAAAACAAGTAAAATAGCAAAATTTTAAAAATTCCACGTCCCTTGAAAAGGCCCCTTCCCACACCCTCATCAAAATAAATTAATTTTCTTATTTTTTTTCCTGGGGAAATTCCCTCCCAAAAAAGACCTGGAAAAAAAGATCCCCAACCCCGGGAAAATTTGGGGTCCCCTCCTTTGGGGGAAAACCAGACATTACCCAAAGGGGTGCCCAAAATTGGGTTTCCAGGTTGGGGCCCCCGTCCTGTAATGCCCTTTTTCCCAAACAAAACCCTAAAAGCCCATGGGGTTTGCTTTGGTTTTCCTTAGGGGAACCCCCAAAGGGCCAACCCCAACCCGGGAATAATTGGTTCAAGGGGTTTTTGGGTTAATTCGCGGACCTATCCCAGAGGCTCCTTGGGGAAAGGCCGGGGGAGGCGGGCGGCCCCAACCCCCCAACCCCCAATGCACACCCCCACACATCCCCCCCCCCTTTTCCCCTTAAAAACCCCACCACCCCCCCCCCCCCCCCCAAACCCCCAAATGGGAGGTCCTTCCAACCCGGGCGGCACAGGGGGGGCGGGCCCCCCCCCAAGGGCCCCCGCTTTCCCAAAAAAACCCCCGGGGGCCCAAAAAGGGGCCCCAAACCCACCTTCCCCCGGGAACCCCCCAGGTAAACCCCTGCTTCATCTGTGAAGAGGCGAAATTGCCAATCTTGGTGTTCTCTGGCAAATGCCAAACATCCTGCACGGTGTTGGGCTGTAAGCATAACCCCCACCTGTGGACGTCGGGCCCTCATACCACCCTCATGGAGTCTGTTTTTGACCGTTTGAGCAGACACATGCACATTTGTGGCCTGCTGGAGGTCATTTTGCAGGGCTCTGGCAGTGCTCCTCCTTGCACAAAGGCGGAGGTAGCAGTCCTGCTGCTGGGTTGTTGCCCTCCTACGGCCTCCTCCACGTCTCCTGATGTACTGGCCTGTCTCCTGGTAGCGCCTCCATGCTCTGGACACTACGCTGACAGACACAGCAAACCTTCTTGCCACAGCTCGCATTGATGTGCCATCCTGGATGAGCTGCACTACCTGAGCCACTTGTGTGGGTTGTAGACTCCGTCTCATGCTACCACTAGAGTGAAAGCACCGCCAGCATTCAAAAGTGACCAAAACATCAGCCAGGAAGCATAGGAACTTAGAAGTGGTCTGTGGTCACCAACTGGAAAAAACCAGTCCTTTATTGGGGGTGTCTTGCTAATTGCCTATAATTTCCACCTGTTGTCTATTCCATTTGCACAACAGCATGTGAAATGTATTGTGAATCAGTGTTGCTTCCTAAGTGGACAGTTTGATTTCACAGAAGTGTGATTGACTTGGAGTTACATTGTGTTGTTTAAGTGTTCCCTTTATTTTTTTGAGCAGTGTATAATAATATGTTTATCATTAAGTTAACGCAACATTAATGCTAAACACAAAATCATTAATGCAAAATAAAACCAATTCTACAACCCTTTGAAATATCTCATACCTCATCCCTTTCGATTGCAGCAGCATCATCTTCTATCATCTGGTGTAGTTCTTGTGTACGCTGGTGATGGCGCTGTTGTCCTTTAAGACTCAGCTTCTGTTTTAGCTGTTCTCGTCCCTTTGACACCTTCTTACACGAAAGCTCGCACTCCCTTTCGATTTCTTGCTGGATTCTCCTCTCCCTCTCCAGTTGCTCCTGGCGCCTCCTCTCCTCCTGCTGTCGTCTTCGTTGCTCCTCCTGTCTTCGCCGCTCCATCTCCTCCTGCTGCTGACGGATACGGTCTTCCTCTTGCTTCCCTGATGGATGAATACAAATCACACAATATTCCCTATGTAGTGCACAACTTTTGGCCAGAGCCCATGTTTACAAATAAGGTGCCATTTCAGACGTAGTAGCCAACAGCCAATGTTGTTCCAACAAAATACTAGTCAATAAGAAAAATAGCAGCCCTGAGCCAATACTGCTATTTCATGAACATATGAACCAATACTATATTATTTATATACTGTAAGGAATAACCTTTACATTAATTGGCTCAGTTGCAAATACTAGTTGCTGATAAATGATGTATTTAGGATATATGGTTTATTTCCAAACTGAACATTTTGAACAAGATAATGTAGCTCAGCAGATTTGTATGAATTTGATGGACTTACCATAGTTTGGACATGTTGGACTATTAGACTCTGCATCGCACAGTAGTTGAATAAGTGAACGGCCACTGGTTTCTATAATAGTGAATGTTTGACTCCCGTTCTGCTTGTGACTGTTGAATTCATATGAGAAGGAGTTATAACTGTGATTGTCATATCTTAACTTTAGGTAGCAATGGATACACCTAGATTTGAGGTCAATTTTTTCACTACCCCAGCCATGCAACGTGCCACTGCCACCTCCCTGGAAAACAGAAAAATAATACCAGATCTAATTTTCAATCTCGAAATGTGTTAAGATGAATCTTCAGCGATCCAATTTATTGCTCAATATTACACTTGTTTTAATTTTGTCACAGGGACAATATCGTTAAGCACTTTTACTACCAACAGCCCCTTTCAGGTAGTCCACAGTACTTAAAGGTAGGCTACACTCAGTAAAATGTAATTATCTTACACAATGGGCCGACTTTATTCATTTACCAACATCAACAGAATTCAACTCTATCAACACTGCCATTATTAGTTCAGCTCTTCATAATGTTTGCCTTCCTTAGTGGCATGCCAGCATTGGGAAGAGCCAATAATCTAGGTTTATAAATATCATGATCAGGTATTTCACAGAGCACCTTACACTCAGCAAAATTACATTATTACCATTATCAATTACCTTGGCATATTTAAATTCTGTTGATTTTGTTCTCTGTAAGAAAGTGTCCCTGTTAGCAGCAGAAGTGTCACAACATTACACTACGTTTATAACTATCATGATTTTACATGGACTCAGATACTTACTTCGCCAACAAGTTCGTAGTGCCAAGTGTAAGGTGTTTGGTTCCGTACAGACACCGAGGCCCCCATTATTCAGAATCTGTTGGGAAAAAACAGTCTTACACCAGTCTTACGCCGTATAATTTTAAATGTAATGTGTTAATTTATCTACTGGACCTTTTCTCAAGTTATCATACTAGCGTAGAATATGAGGTAACACTTTAAACTACACTTTAAAATACACTAAATGCTTATAATATGTCATCCTTACAAATATGTACATATTCTGTAAACGTATTACCATTCCTACTTATTATTTGTTTATTCATTCTTAATTTCTTATTAATAAAGGTGTATTTATTAAAGTTCTTAATTTACAGTGTTTATCGATGGGATAATTTTGAACTTGCAAAGTACAACAATTCTCTAATAGGAAACATGAACTATCTAAAGTTGTGTAGCTCACCGCAGTCTCCAGAAGCATAATTTCTGGGGCATAAACATGCAGGTCAAGCATAAAGTAGCAATAAATGTTTTCTTGTCAATTCTGTTTTTAGAGAAGTATGATGTATAATATTGATATACAGTATATCTAATAGCATGACATTTAATATTGTTAATCATTGTTAGCATTTTAACAAACATGACATGTATGTGTATATATAGGCCTACTTGATAACTTGCGGTGAAGTCAGCATTAGTGGGACATCATGTGTAGTGGGACATTTGTGTTTGAGAGTGCTATGGTTATTTTGCGAACCAATCACAACAAATGTTATTGGGTTGTTGCTGCATGTGTTCTGTGCATGAAAAAATGGTTTTGGTTAGTGTGACATCACTTTAGTGTATGTGGTCAGGTTTCTTAAATCGGGTGACCCGTTGAAAATCATTTTTAAAAACGCCATACTATGATACCTTGCGCTAGAATGATAAGACAGCCATTCTGTCAGTTATAATTTAACAATCTAGCTTTTGGTGTTAAAATGAATAGTTATTGATAGTGCTTTGAAATGTAATAACCATTCATGTAAACAGCTTATATATTTTATGAAAATTAGAGTTATATTACTGTCCCACTTCCCCTGAATGGTGTTTGAATAGTGAGACAGGGACCTTTTTTTTTTTTTTGCGATAAAAATGCACAAAATAAACCTTTGCTCAATTTATATGTAATTTCCTTCATTAGATATTATAAAGTACATTGGAATATGTTGTTGTAGTTGTTCATAACATCTCAAAATCGAGTCTAGAAGCTATATAGGCCTAGCACATAAACCGCATAGGATGACAGTGGAAGGAATCAAAGGGAATTAACAAGGGGAGCGAAGGAAAGAAAGGAAGGAAAATTTAAAAATTGACATTCACTTTAATTATTCGATATTATGCAAAACTGATTATGGCAGTAGGCAGATTATGCAATAGTCATGTAGGCCTAAACACCTTACTCTGTTTATCTTAATCAGTGTAATGGTCAAAATCAAGTAAGCATAAAACAGCTGGTTTTCTGAGTAATTTCTTTCGAATTATTAGGACATGTAAACTAGTGATACGCGGGTTGACTCATAACCCGTGGTTGGATTTAGGTTACTTAAATATTGTGTGGTTTGAAGCGCGGGTGGATGGCGGGCGGGTTTTGAATAAAGACAAAACAATAGGCTATCTTAAAAATCCATAAATGTATAATTGTTGTGCAATTTATATCTAGGCTATCTATAGGTTGCATTTAGGTTTTTCTTATTAATTATTTTTGTCTCTCTGGCATTAGTGCTTAAGCCTAAACTTTAAGGTCTAACTACGCGCGCCAAGTAGCCTACAACCCAATCCCCAAATACTTTTGGGAACGGGCAGAAAAAGTATCCACCAAGGCAAAAATAACAATGTCGGAGTTGAATTCAATAAGAGCTGCGAAATGGAGAGTTGAAAATAAAGAGAGAAGGCAGGGCCCCCAAACAAGTAATGTTTGGGAAAGTGGTTAAAGAGGATGATATGTGTAATTATTGTGAGGCGCTATACAAATCGAAAGTCAGGGACTTCAGGTAGGCCTATGGCATGTCAAGGGAACTGTAGCCTACTGTTCAGATGGGTTAAATGGAAACTGAAATCTGGACACTGACTGTAGGTCTATAACCTCTCACATAGCCTTAATATGAGCTGCAGAATTTAGCATTTCTTGCAGTAAAATTATACACCAAAATAAATGGGAACAGGAGTGGAGAAGTATGATTTCTTTATTTCAGCATCTTGAGAGAATGCAAATGCGCATGTTGGGAGAAAGGGAATGCACAGTAAGATACCGCCTGTCAACCTGGTCTCAGAGCATTTCATATTATTCTGTTTGTAAATCCGAGAATCTCCATTTAGTATGTATTAATTTGTGAATGTCCATCACCCATTGCATATGATATGTTACGAATTACAATTAATATTATATGTTACGAATTTGAAAAAAGGAAGGCTACAATATGTTAAGAATTTGAAAAATATACAATATGTTACGAATTTGCTCAAATGTATCGTATGTTACGAATTCTAGCTAGGTGGCTAGGTGGCGAACAGTAGCTAGCTGGGTAACATTAGCTCGGCTAGGGGTTAGGGTTAGGGTTAAGTTTAGGAGTTAGGTTGAAGGGTTAAGGTTAGCGGAAAGGTTAGCTAAGAGGGTTAGGGTTAGCTAACATACTAAGTAGCTGCAAAGTTGCTAAAAAGTAGTAAGGAGGATAGTTGAAAATATGCTAATTTGCTAAAATGCTAAAGTTGACCGTGATGAAATTCGAACTCGCAACCTTTGGGTTGCAAGACAACTTTCGTTTTTGCCTTAAGCAACCATCTGTCTTATGTAAACAATTCCAAACATAACAATTTCAGTGTCTATATTACGTATAGTCTGTGAGACCAGGCTGCCTGTAGAGGTGCTACCTTTATCAGCTTCGTAAAAGCTGATAGTATTTCAACCACATATAATATGCCTCCAAGCCGAAATCTTATCAGAGCCATGTAGGGTGGTTTTCACAGCTTTCTGTTTCCTTACAACCGGTCCAACTGATGTCATTTGGACATTTTTTTGGGGGGGGAGTTACTGCATTTTCTCCCAGGTCCTTAAACGTCATTTGCTCTGCGAAAGAAGCAGCGATGATAGAGAATTTTACCTATGTCAGCTAGATTGAAGCATTCATTCTATTGATTTTTGACATTATTCTGGGGCAACATATAATGACAGAAGAGAAGCTGCATGCATGTAATTATAGACAAGCTGACTAACAAATAGCCTACCAAAAAGTCGGCAATTATAAATAGAAACATATCAAAATTAGGCAAAAAAAGACCTGCACCACTGTCAAAAATCGTTTCGCCATCTCTGACTATAGCCTACAGGCGTTTTGTATTTTAGCGGGTTAGGGTCGGTTGAGGGCCTCAGATTGTCACTTTATCACATATAGCCAGGCGGGTACGGATATCTTATTAGCAATTGCGGACAGGGGTGCAGGTGAGTAAACAGCTCAACCGCGCACCACTAATGTAAACACATTAATCGGCGTTCCAGCAGTGTATTTAATCTGCGCATGGGCTAGCACCAGCCAAGCGAGCCTCCCTCTTTAGTGCAGGTGCAGTGAGTTCGGAACAACTGAAGTAGTTTTCACATACAAAATGTATATGTCCGAACTCAGAATCAAATATGCTTCACATAAATAACATGTTTTCTGTGGTAGAGAACGTTTATTTTGATTGGCGATTTTCTGCATTTATCTGAGTGCCATCAGTTAGCCTGATTTCAGATGTATCCATGTAAACAGGATTATTAGGAAAATAGTTATTATTGTAAAGCATGTAAACGTT